TTACGCTTATACTATAAATATAAGATCTTTAGCTTAAGTAATTATAAACTTCATAATTAGAGGGTTAGCCCCTTTAAGATTCTTAATAAGATCGAAAAGCTTGCGTACCGCCTTAAGCTCCCTTTACTAATAAGAATTTACTCGATTATTTTAATAGTATAATTAAAACCTATTACGAACGAGGATTCTTATATGCGTATTCGTATTACTGCTACTTCTAAAGTTAAGGAAAACGATATTATTATAAATATCTACGAGATCGAGACTCTATTAGAAAAGTAAGAATTTAGAGATAAGATTTAGTATTTAATTAAGTGAAAAAACTACGAAAATAAGTATAATATATAATATGATATTAATGATCTTAAAGATGCTATAGAATTAATTAAAGAATTTAAAAGAAGGATCTAGGTGAGATCGACGATATGTTAGGATAGAAGTATAGTATTTATTAAAGGGAAGGATTAGAAAGTTTGTATTAAAGTAATAACTTTCTTAAAGTAATAACTTTCTTTTACTTAAAGAAAGAATTTACTCGATATCGACGACGTTACTTTTCTTTTCTATTTTTCTTAATATTCTTTTTTAAAGATATCGAGAGCGTTGCTTTCTTTTTTATTTGCTAATATTTATTATAAATATAGTAAAAATAGAGAGATAGAAGATGGCGCTATAATAGCGCCTTAGCAGATACTACTTTCTAGCAGATTTCTTTATAGAATCTCAATTATCTTATATTTAACTTATGAATTCACTATAGTAATAGCAATTGATTTCCTACTATCATAATGCTATTTCAGCTATTTAAGCTATTAAGCTATTATAGCTATATAACTATTTTAGCTATTTTAGCTATTTAAGCTATTATAGCTATATAGCTATTTTAGCTATATAAGCTATTATAGTTAAATAAATATTTTAGCTATTTTAGCTATTTTAGCTATTTAAGCTATTATAGTCATATAACTATTTCAGCTATTTCAGCTATTTCAGCTATTTAAGCTATTGCAGTCATATAAATATTTTAATTATTTTAGCTATTTAGACTATTATAGTCATGCGAATAATTTAGCTATTTAGACTACTATAGTCGTAAAGATATCTTAGCTATTTCAGCTATTTAAGCTATCGTAGCCTTAAAGATATCTTAGCTATTTCAGCTATTCGAGCTATCGCAATTATAGAGATATCTTAATTATTTTAGCTATTCGAGCTATCGCAACTATAAAGATATTTTAATTATTTTAACTATTTAAGCTATCGTAATCTTAAAGATATTCTAATTATTTTAGCTATTCGAGCTATTATAATTATAAAGATATTCTAATTATTTTAGCTAATCGAATTATCGTAGATATAGAGATATTCTAATTATTTTAGCTATTTAAGCTATCGCAGTCTTAAAGATATTTTAGCTATTTTAACTATTTAGATTATTATAACTATAGAGATATCTTAATTATTTTAGCTATTTAAACTATCGTAATTATAAGAATATCTTAGCTATCGTAGTTATAGAGAACTCTTAACTATTTTATCTATTTAGATTATCGTAGCTTTAGAGATATCTTAGCTATTTTAGCTATTTAGACTATTATAGCTTTAGAGATATCTTAGCTATTTTAGCTATTCGAGCTATTATAACTTTAAAGATATTCTAGCTATTTTAGCTAATCGGGCTATCGTAGTTATAAAGAGATTATAACTATTTTAACTATTTAAACTATCGTAGCTATAGAAAGATCTTAATTATTTTAACTATTTAAACTATCGTAATTATAGAGATATCTTAATAATTTTAGCTACTTAAACTATCGTAGTTTTAAAAATATCTTAATTACTTTAGCTATCGAAGCTATCGCAGTTATAAAGATATTTTAACTATTTTAATTATTTAGATTATTACAGCTATAGAGATATCTTAGCTATCGTAGTTATAAAAATATCTTAATTATTTTAGCTATTTAGACTATCGCAGTTATAGAGATATTTTAACTATTTTAACTATTTAAATTATTATAGCTATAAAGATATCTTAATTATTTTAATTATTTAAGTTATCGTAGCTTTAGAAATATCTTAATTATTTTAGCTATCGAGACTATCGTAGCTATAGAGATATCTTAATTATTTTAGCTATTTAAACTATCGTAGTTATAAGAATATTTTAATTATTTTAGCTATTTAGACTATTCTAGCTATAGAGATATCTTAGTTATTTTAAATATTTACGCTATTATAGCTATAGAAATATTTTAGCTATTCTAGCTATTTAAGCTATCGTAGCTATGGAGATATCTTAGCTATCGCAGCTATAAGAATATCTTAACTATTTTAACTAATTAAACTATTATAGCTATAGAATATCTTAATTATTTTAGATATTTAAACTATCGTAGCTATAGAAATATTTTAACTATTTTAGCTATTTAAACTATTATAGCTATAGAGATATCTTAGTCTAACTATTATAGTTATATTTTAGACTATCGTAGTTATTAGAATATTCTAGCTATTTTAACTATTTAGACTATTATATTAAGTAATAATATATATACGTTAAAGTCTTATATTAGGTGAAAAGCCTTATCTAATATCGATTATTAATATATTAGATAAAAAATCTTATCTAATATTAGTTATTAGTAGCTATTAATATATTAGATAAGAAGTCTTATCTAATATTAGTTATTAATATATAATATTAACTATTAATATATTAAATAGAAAGATCTATTTAATATTAGTTATTAATATATAATATTAATTATTAATATATTAGATAAAAAGTCTTATCTAATATTAGTTATTAATATATAATACTAGTTATTAATATATTAAATAAGAAGCTTTATCTAATATTAACTATTAATAGCTATTAATATATTAGATGAAAAGTCTTATCTAATCATCTATAAATCTGAAAAATTAATTTGCGTATAATTTTCGTCGGATTCGTATAATTAGTATAATTTAGCCTATTTAGCAGATTTTGCTTATATCTAAACTCTTTTCGCTAGTTCTATTAGTTTAGTAACTTTAAAAATTTTTAATAACTTTAAAATTTTTACGTAATGCACTCTAATATACTCTAAGTATTATTCTATATACATATAGCATTAATATACATTATTATTAATATACGCATTATTATATATTATATTAGAGTATTACTTACGCGACTAATTTTATTAAATCGTCTAATTCTATAGTTAAATTTAAGTTAGCGTTAATACTCGTTATCGTAGAATCTTACCGTCATAACGTCGATTATTAGAACTTTTTTTTTTTCATACGTATTACTATTAAATTGATAGAACTAATAAAAAAGATTAGAATAATTATTAAATCGACGGAATTTAGATAGATTCTAATTAGATTTACTAATCCGGCGGATTTTATAATTTCCGCGATATACGCGCGATCAGCAATTTCAAATTTTATAGGAACTTTTCAGATTTATAGATGATATTAGTTATTAATAGTTATTAATAGCTATTAATATATTAGATAAAAAGCTCTATCTAATATTAATTATTAATATAAGTTTTTTTATAGAGAGACTATAACTTAGTATTAAGAAAGTTAGATTTCTATCGTCTTTTTATTACTTATTTAGTCTATCTATTAATTAGTAACACTTATCTCTTAAGATCGTTATCTATAATATAACGCTTATCTTCTAAAATCGTTACCTATAATATTAATAACGCTTATCTCTTAAAGCCGTTATCTATAACGTAACGCTTATCTTCTAAAATCGTTATCTATAATATTAATAACGCTTATCTTTTAAGACTATTATCTATAATATTAATAACGCTTATCTCTTAAGACCGTTATCTATAATATTAATAACGCTTATCTTTTAAGATCGTTATCTATAACGTAATATTTATCTCTTAAGATCGTTATCTATAATATTAATAACGCTTATCTCTTAAGATCGTTATCTATAATATTAATAACGCTTATCTCTTAAGACCGTTATCTATAATATTAATAACGCTTATTTTTCAAGGCCGTTATCTATAACGTAATACTTATCTTCTAAGATTATTATCTATAATATTAATATATAATACTTATCTTCTAAGATCGTTATTAATAATCTTCGCGAGATACTAATATTACTTAGATTAAGAATTATTATTTAATTTAATTTTTTTATAGAGAGGTTATAATATCGATATATAACGTTAATCTCTTATATACTTAGAATATTACTACGATATTAGCATCTTTTAGTCTATTCGCGCTAATATTACTAATTTCTACTACTTACTATAGTAAGTACTATTAAGAGTTCTCCTCGAGACCTTCGCTCTCTTTAAACGATATCTTAAATTATTTTTAAGAGTTTTTCTAGCGCTGAGAAGTCTTTTTTAAATTATTTATATATTTAGAAAAGTCTTAGCTATCTTAATATTAGATATATTTAATTATCTATCTATATATCTACTTATATATACGTTATTTTCTATATAATCTTATTATTTATAAGTATTAATTATAATAGTAAGATTATAAGTTAGTAAGTTTATTATAAGACTATAGCGTTAATAACTATTTAATTAACTATTTTATTATTATACGATATACGATAGATAGAAGATAGATAAATATAGCGAGTATTATTTATATGGCTACTATATCTATAGTAAGCTCTTTATTCGAATTATTCTCTATTAGTTAAATTATTCTCTTTTAGAGCTATATTATTATTCTTTTTTCTATTTACATCTATATAGCTATAGCTTTATTTTCACTCTAGAGTATATCGCTTAGATATAAGAGTTTTTCTAGCGCTAGAGGGCTTTTTTTTAGATTATTTATATATCCAGAAAGGTCTTAGCTACCTTAGTGTTAGATATGCTTAAGCATATATCTACATATCTACTTGTGCATGCGTTGTTTTCTGTATGGCCTCACTGTTTGCGAGCACTAACATGACTTCTCCGTCTTCGCGGTGCTTGATGGCAGAGGAGAGCCGGGTCTTGTCACTTGATCTCACCTTGGGCACTCCTAGCTTTGTTGATCTTGCCGCTGAGGCCAATGCCTACTATGACAGCTCCGAGGGTTGTTGCCTTGAAGATGGTTTCGATCTGGTCGATCTTCATGTTTCGATTGTACGGCTGTCTATAGACCCGAAACAAGGCGCCAGCTGTGACAAGGATGTAGGCGCCTGTGAGGAGATGGTATTTGTAGGCTCTCAAGGCAGAGTCATTTTCCATTGGTGATCTCGTGGTGTGTATAATTTTGTGTTGAGTGTGGCAAAAATTCTGCAACCAAGAACCGAAACAAACTAATGGCTTTCGGGACTAGCGGGCTTTCTGGCGGAGTTGAGACAAAACACTCGGGTTTCAGTCATCTATCTGGAACGTCTGGGCATTTGCGCATGCTGCTTCATCCTCGGAATCTGACTACGGATAGTTTATGGGCAAGAAAAGCCTTTTTGCTCCACCGTTCCAGCTACACCTTGACGATCTTGGGGAAGACATGGACACGGTTGATGCACGTTTCTTGTAGGTATCAAATTTTGACACCTTTCAGATGTCATCAGCCGAGATCTCTAGCTTGATAGATACGTTATAACTCATAACGCTTGATACACGAGCCATTTGCCCTGTCAAGGAGACCTTTCTCGTCTTGTTTTGCGGCCAGAGAAACAAGGATAATGTCATACTTGCTTGTTCCACATCTTGTAAGCTTTCTTCGTTTCAGTATCCCCACCCTGCTCGGCCTTTGCCATCAATTCTGCCATGATCTCTTGACTTCACATACAAGAACAAGTCCTGCCTCCTTCCTGGGAAAAACCATACACCTTGCGCTCGCACATTTCCCCTGAGTACACGCAGCCTTCCTGCTACCTCATACCTCCAAACCCTCAACATGTTCATGAAGACTTTCCTCCTCTTAGCCTTAGGCGTTCAAGCTCTATCCCTTCCCGGTACCGACGAAGCCCTCGAAAAACGCTCGTCTCGCGCCTGGATCGGCTCTTTTGACAGCGACGACACAACCTGTTCCAATACCTCCGTGTTCCAAGACAACTCAGCATTGCCCCATGCCGCATGCGTGCCATTTCGGCTCCAGGGTGGTAGAGTGGGCGGCCGCTGGGGCAGTGGTAAACATGAAATCAACGTCATACAGGCTTTCGAGGACACTGGTTGTCAGGAAGCCCAAGTGAGCTTTACCAGGATTGGGGCAGAGAAGGGCTTTTGTGTGGACTCCAGTATGTGGGACTGTGAAGGGGGGCTGGACGTGGGCAATCCGTGTTTTTGGAACAGTGTCAAAGGGAGTCGAATTCGATTGGGTAGGGTCTGAGAGATGCATGGTTGGAGGCTAAGAGATGTTCTTTGTGCTTTATGATCGGACAAGATGGACTGGGACCTGCTTGCTACTTTGTATTTAATCAGTCACCACTCATGCAATTTCTTCTCGCCTTCTCTCCGTACCTAGTGGTACTGATCAGAGCATAGAAGCGTGAAGGTATTTTCTATGTCCATTCCCTGCATGGACTGAGATATCTGGATCTGGTTATACCGACACTGAAATCGATGCCTATACTGATGCCGATAGCTATGCCCATACTGATGGCGACACCGACACCGACACCGAGAACTCTAGCATAGATGACCCATGGCCTAAGGCCACGATTAGGCTGGCACACTTCTCTGTCAAAGAGTACCTGGTCTCGGACAGGATCCGGCATGGATCCGCAAGTGACTTTGGCCTACAAGAGATTGACTCCAACGAATCTATGGCTGAATATTGTCTTGCATACCTTCTATACATTATCAAACTAGAAGTTCTGACATCTGTGAGCCTTAGCGAGTACCCTCTAGCTCAATATGCCATGGCATATTGGTTTGAACATGTTCGAATCGCCCCGAGCAACACGAGCTCAGCGCTTCCGCTCGCTCAAGAGCTGTATCTGTCAAAGAAAGACTCGCTCGTCAAATGGATTCGGCTCTATGATGCGGACCCCCCTGGCCACTGGGGACCAATCCGTATCTTAAGCTCGGGGGAAGAATCGCAACACATTGGTCTTCCAATGTATTACGCATCGTTGCTTGGCCTGCTCGAGTGAGTTAACACCCTTCTCGAAAATATGACTGATGTTAACGCACGAGGGGGGTATAATGGGGATGCTTTACTAGCAGCTTCGGTATCGGGCCATCTACAGACAACACCTGCCCAGCTTCGGGAACCATGGGGTGAGAACGATGCGGCGGACGCTCCGGAATTGGAAGCCTTGGAAGAGGAAGCCTTGGAAGAGGAAAGTGCTGGTGCATCAAGCGAAATTGACTAGCTATAGGCGTGAATTTGAACGATAATGCATTTTCAAGAGAGGTATACGGACGCACCCTAACCGCTGCCACTGTACCTGCCACGGAGGCCATCGAGTCAACTCTGTACCTACCGCTGGCCATCAACTCTGATTGTTGAATTAGCCACTAATCCATGACATTACCCGTGTGGCCTAAATGAATAGAGGCCCCAATCCTCTCTCATGTTGCAGTTCTATAATTCAGGCGCGTTGCCAAGAAAAAGTGACAATGTTCACGATTGTTTTTTTTTTTTTCCAGAATTGCCATGTTTGCGTGCGTGGATATTGTTTTAGCGCGTTTAATTCTATGACTTTGATATCATTTACCGAATGAGCCGATCTATTCGGATCAACACCCACAAAAACATGCGCAAACGAAAACAAAGAGCGCGAGCTTTTCCTCTTAGGATCTGAAAGTTTCGAAATCCCCTCTATGCATGGCTTTCGCTACATTTCCTCGCGAACACGGCGAGTTCTATTACCTTCATTCCCAAGCCCAAACATCACCAAGACGCAGGGCTTCCTCGTCGATAGGGTTCAGGATGAGCTCGCATGCAAATGAGAATCTTATCACGCCTCAAAAAGCCATCGAGCAAGAGTGGCAGCCGTTCAACGCTGTCCTAAGATATTCACAAGCATCCACACACAGCACCAGAAAGACACTAGCGCACCGCTATAGCCAATGAAACCATAAGCGATGCATACGCTACGTTACTGATCGATGACACGAATAATGTCTTGCTCAGCGTCTACTCAAACACATCTCAGTGCATGGATACCAGCCTGGTGATAAAACTCCTCGGACTCGGGAAGGATAGAGCGAAGTATAGAGCCTGACCGCCGCTCATATGTCCAACGGCACTGAACATACTTTTTCTTGTCAAGGAAGCAACGCAGTGTCGTAGCTTTGTCTCCACAGGAGGTGATATAATTGGGTTCGTTGGGATCTGATCTGTGGTTTTTATGATGTATCGACGCTGCTCGTCTGAAATCCTAAGTGCTATGATGACAAAACTTATGAGCTGATTGGCAAGTCACATGCGCACGGATATATGTATGGTATCGCGCTCAAGTTGTAGGGCGAAAACCAGACAAGAGATTTCATGATAGAATTAGAACACCTTTCTTTTGGAACTCTGTCGGACGTATGTTGTATTTGAGTCTTTCTTTGACTGCAGTAAAATTACCCCGCGGTAGAGCTCTGACGCTGGACAACATCATCAAGTATATAAACAACGCAAACGGTCGCGTCTGAGATGAAGATGCGGAATGCACTGAGCGTGAACAGACCCACAAAGCAGGCAACGGAATGCATGAAAGCAGAATGACATGCACGTTTGAAATGGTGATGATAGAAGACTAAAGCTAATACTTCCATAAGATGTGGACCAATACGAGTCCCCCAACTTCCTTCCACATACCGTTATTGTTCATGGTCCTTCGCTAGTGAAGTTGGTCGCAAGTAGGTCCGTGTTGCCCGGAAGAATATAATTCCTGTACTCGGGCAAACCAGCAATTACCGCATCCGGCAAATTCACTATATCTCTGACTATCTGTGGCGGCGTCAGACCAAGCCACTGTGCAACCGAAGCGACTACCACGAGCAAAAGTCAGCTTAGGGTTATCTGCATCCAGTTGCAGCGGATACGTGCCACTGAAGTATGGCGACTGCAAAACTTTCCAGATAGATCACATCTACGTCCCCCGCGTTCTCGACGTAATGACTGTCTGGGAACGGGACGTATCCTACATCCGCTTCTGCAAAATCGAAAGATGTATCAATCTTCTCCCTCGTATTGCCAGAGTCTTCGAGGATTGTCCACGAAGATCTTTTGTATCAACGCTTCATCCTCCCCGCACCACTCTTTGCACTGGGCAATGAAAGCCGGAACATCAAACTTCCGATAACCCTGCACTGCCTTCCTATCGCCCTGCGGATTGGCTGCAACGCCCCCGGTATGCGGCCAGTCAGAAGCCCACACTACCTGAGTTGGTGCAATGCGAAGGATTTCTAGAACATAAGCGTCCAATTCTGGCAACTTTGAGAATCGATAGATGCCGCTCAACTTGACCCAGACTTGCTTCCTGGAGAGCAGATCCATGAACTCAGTGTACCCGGGCTGAAGACGTGGGGCTAGAGTCTCATTCGGCGTTGCGAGATGGTCTATGACCACTGGCACCCCCAATTTTGGAACCTCGCTCGCTATTTTCTCAATATCTGCAAGGCCAATGTGCAGCTGGATTGCCCATTTCAAACGGTGTATTATCTGGACATACGACCTCAATGTTGTTAATATTTCTTCCTTACTCTTGTTCTGCGAAGTGGACTTGAGATTGATTCTAATGCCTCTGACTCCCAAGGCCTGCATCTCGTCCAGGTCCTGATCGGATATCGTTTCCGGGTCTATGGAAACCACCGCGCGCCCCTTGCCTTTCAGGTGACGGACAGACTGGAGCAGTAGATTGTTGTCGGTGCCATAGACCGATACGGCGACAAGGCAGACATGATCGGTACCAAGCTGCTCCTCGAACTTGAGTAAGTCCCCTAGGCTTGCTTTCTTCGGCCGAAATGCATGATCTTGTGCGAAGGGAAAATCTTCCTGCGAAAGGTGTTCAGCGTCAAGCACGACTGCCTGGATGGCCTTACTCACCTCGTCAACGACGTGCACATGGCTATCCCACGCACCACGTGGAAGACTGGTTGGTTTTGAAATGCTCATGGTGGGCGCCTTCCGAGACCAAATTTCAAGTGACCTGCCTGGTAAGAGGAAGTCTGAACTGATGTGGTTTGTAGGGGATTTGGGTACAATCCATTCGCACTCGAAGAGCAAGTGGCCGCGCGACAACGTCAACGAGATCACTGCACCTTCCGAGAGGATGCGAGAATGGCAGCATGCAGGCTTCGGTAATGAGTCAAACTTGGCAACTCAGTCAAAGATGCGAAGGCAGAACTATTGTTGATGAAGACCTCGTAAATACAGAAACCCCGGGCAGACGTCGGAGTCGCAACAACTGATGGGTATGCAGTCTCGAATTGATGAATGCAAGAATAGCGAATCAGAAGTTTGCCGATGAAGCCATTTCATGTAGGCTGTGCGGGGTATAGGGGACCCGTCCTTTAGTTTGGATCTTCAACGACATGCCCCAAAGCAGTGTTGGAATTCAGCACCTCAGCCCTATTGCGCTTGGCATGTGCTACAAGTAACACACAAACTTCACGGAGAAACAACGAGCCGTCATCAATATTCATCCAACAGGTTTGGTTGTGACTTGATAACGCCCTCGGACGAGACTGTCGCAAAAGAAGGTTTAATTAACATTGACGGACCCATAGAAGCGCATATCCTAGACAGTCTAGAGACCCGAGAAGCAGAGCGCAAATACATTTGGACGCTGTAAAGAATTTCGAGTCAATTCGGACTGCTATAAATCTGATGCGGAAGCCGCACAGAATGCCAAGCTGTACGGACTGGACACCGGTCATGATACTGCGAGACAGTGAGTGGGACGTGGGAAGAAGTCGCTTACGTCCCCTCAATGGCGACTTTCCATTATGATTTTCTGTGTTGGTTTGATCATCTTTCAGGTATGCTTGCGTCGTCTGTCTGATGGCACTGGGATATGTCATCATCTCCTACAGCTCCGACCGCTGCCGAGACCGCGGCCTGCACATCACCGGGGGCAAATTACCGAATCATACCCCGAAAGTACGAATCCTTACCGAATCATACCCCTAATTACCGAATCATACCCCGACACCAAATCACACCCAAATATGGGGTATGATTCGGTAATTTGCTATTGCTTGGGGTATGATTTGGTAAGTTGTCAAAGTGGCCTCAAACTACGAAGGAGATAATCCGCGATCTGGCTTATTCGATCATAGAAATAAGGGAGTTTCTCCGACCGCATTTGATGAGAATTCTATCAGCTTAAAAACATCAGACGAAAGCCGAGTGAGCGAAATTTCGAGCCCGGGGGTGTCCGCACTTCACGCTGCAGACACCCCTATTCGGGTCCCGTAGGGCCCCAATTCCTACTACGCTGCGCAACGGGGCGGGGTAAGCTTTAGGGGGTCAAACCCCGCCCCGAACCACGCCCCGAAACCCGCCCCAAAACCCGCCGCGCAGCGTAAATACCACCGTTATCAATAATCAAGTCGACGATAAGTCTACCGCTTCTCAAAAAAATATATTTATTTTAGATGACTTAGTTAATTTATATGAAGCTACCATTATCTTCATTAAACCCTCTCATATCAGGAAGCTATTATTTTTCAAATCATACCCCAAGCAATAGCAAATTACCGAATCATACCCCATATTTGGGTGAAATTTGGTGTAGGGGTATGATTCAGTAATTAGGGGTATGATTCGGTAAGGATCCATACTTTTGGGGTATGAATTAGTAATTCGCCCACATCACCGCCCTCATACTCGTCGCGGCCATCGCATACGTCTCCTCGCCACGCTGCCTCAAAGCCAGCTTCACGGCAAATACGCTTGCGTGGTAGGTTATCTTTTCCTCTTGACTACATATGCACGATCCCCATCAAAGTTAACAACCCTCCCAAGTACATCGCCGTCGCCTGCATCTACGCAACCTACCCGCCCACGCAAGCCCCGGCCGCCAACAACCTCGGCAACGGCACCAAACGCGCCATCCGGTTAGGTATATACACGGCGATTGGCAACTGCGGCAGCGTCGCCGGCACCTACTTCTACCCGTCGAGTGAAGCGCCGCAGTTCCGGAGGGGGCATTATCTGTGCTTTGCTATGAGCCTTGCGACGGCTGTGTTAACGTTTACGAATCATCTTCTGCTGGGAAGGGTCAATAGGGCGAGGGATGAGGGGGATGGGAAGGTCAGGGAGGGGGAGAGTTTGGATGTGAGTGAGATGGCGGATGAAAGTCAAGGGTTCAGATCTAGTACTTGAACCAACGAGCGTTGTACAAGGGCGAGGCGTTAAAGTTCTGCGCAAGACATGCCCGCGAAGTACACGGTGAGGAGAAGCTCTTGGTATCGGAACGACGATGGAGATGGACAAGCTGTTGGAAAGAGCGTCAGTCCGAGGTTCTGGAACTTTCCTGCTTTCAAGTCAGTTTTGACGACATGTTGATAACAAACGATACGAGCAAATGGCGCTGAAAGACCGAAGGCTACCTTGTACATCGTTTCAAAATGACCCAACTCCTGTCACAGTGTAACAGTGTAACATGAAATTTGAGTGTATGTATCATTGATAGGCCTTGTAATTGCCAGAAGGGTATTGTGGAGCCTATGTGCCAAGGCGCGCTAGGGCCTGATCGGGAGGAGTGTCTGTGTGTTGGGAGTTCACCCTGTGACAATTACAGTGTAAGTTGTTGACTGACATCGTCCGTTAGTGTGCCCTACGATGATAGATTGTTGCATTTAACTATTTTGAAAGATTTTAGGCAGAGAATAAGGGAAAAAAAGAAACAAAAAAAAGTGACAAAAGTCCAAAGTCGTCCTCGAACCAAGAAGCAAGCAAGTAAGCAAAGAGCAAAAGAGCAAAAGGAAAATCACCCAACGGGATTAGAGCTCAGCGACCTTCAGAATCCTTTAACAGAGCCAGTAAGATCAAACTCGTCCATGTGAGTGCAAACCCCTCGAACTGGCGCACAGCAGATGACTGGTACTTCATTGCCCTCGGTTGAGAAATTTCAGTCAAAACGCTGTCTGCCAGCTATGAACCTCAAAGCTTAGGATGTTCCCGCGTATCTAGTGGACCATGTTGTCCGATAATTAAGAATTGTCCGTTAAACTAAGATATAATCTTAACGTAATAACACCGGTGAAGATAGTCGTAGTATCCGTTATGGGCCTCTTGCTAATTTGATTCATAGTTCACTGACTCCTACTATACTCTTATACAAGATCGTCGGCAGAAGCTACACCGCTGCTCCGCCCTCGTCTCCTAGACCTTCTCTTCCCTGCCTACTACTTTCCTTCCCAGCGCAATATCCTTCTTGACCATGAACGTCCTCACATTCCTCTGCGTGTCCACTAGTGTGAATCCTAGCTGTTGCATGTGAACAATGCCTGCATCCACATTCCACTCAGTTCTATAAAGTTCTTTTCCTTACACATGTACCGTAACTGAACCTCATAGAAGCAGATCCATGTCACGACCTTAACACAACCACTACCTACCAAATACCCTTCACCTCTCCCCCTCCCCCAACTCTCCTGCCCAATCCTTACACCGCACGCTCCGACACGTCAAAGCTTCTCATAACACCAACCCCCTACGCGCCCCGCAACCTCTCTACCCGTCCTCGCATTTGTCTCATTAGTTGAATCGTCTATTTGATGCAAAAGTAACCAGTGCCGTTTTCTTCGCCAAGCCTGCTCTTTGATGCACCAGTCACGTCAGCTATCATGCAGTCGCGCAATGACGGGTCATTTCCCCCTGACGTCTCACACGACAAACCTTTTGCTACACTTCACACTCGGCACTCTGAATCCTTTCTCACGCGAACCGCCATACTTTAATCTATCAGCCGATTACAGGTACGGCGGTAAATATTTTCAGTTGAATCTTGAGCTGTTTCGCTTTGGCTATTCGGTAATTTAGTCTTTGAAGAGCTTATTTTCGGCATCAGCGAGGGCGGATGTATGATAAGTAGATGATGTGGGTATGAAGAGGAATGTTCAAGGGTGCGAGGATTGATGCTATGGAGAAGGAGCAAGTGAGAGGATTTGTTATTGAGGTTGATGAGGATGACGGCACTAGAGTGTAAAGGACTCTCGTTTGAAGGCAGTAGGTAATCGTACCGGAATTTCTTAGAGCACCACTGGAACGAAGTGAATTCAGTAAGCAAAAGGGAAGTGTTCTTATAAGGCGAGAAAGTTAATCGTGATCAGTGACAGTCCCAATCCACTTTCAGCCTTTGAGCATGGTTCTTTTCAGCGGCAGGAGTAAAAGACGAGATAAAGTCCAAATGTTTAATTATAGATAACGGTCCTAAAGCCGTCAGCAACTCGATCCCGTAAAGCTCGATTGTAATCTGAGTGTTGGGCCCCAGGCCCAGAATCATTGGCACCTGAAATTATCAAGACTAGTTTTTCACCAAAGCTTGCAACATTCAATCCATCCAAGGTCGACTCTCACGGAGATTTGGGATACCTGACTTAGCCTCGTTCTTACCGGCAAAAGCATCCGTGTACCCAAGGGAAAGGCGGCAAACAGTGAACATGCCCGGATACACCTTCAATTGGTCATCAAACCTTGCGAGGTCGAGCGGCCATTTCTCTCGTCTCATGCAAAGATCTCTCAGCCGTCATATCCTTCTTCTTTTCCATACGTGCCTGCGCCTGTAGCGCACGACGGGCCCCGTCCCCTCTGAACTTGGTCAAGTACTCTTTGAACACTTGCGATGACTTCTTGAATGTGCTCAGTCTTCAGCAAGACGTGTTGGTAATCCGGGATCCTACTTACTTCTGCGCAAGTCAAGGCGAGTAAGGGTCGTTCTTTCAAGGATAACAAACAATGCACGGGTCCTCAATCTGGGCTCGGAGACACTCACGAATTATCTCAGCGATGCATTCGGCAGTGTAAATCTTGCCTACACCCGGAGGTCCGTGCGGTGGGAATGTCTGACCTTCGCCTTTGCTTCGGATGAAATCCGCATTCCATGCCTCTCTCCGATCTTTCTCTTGATCTTTATATTTGCAGGTGAGGACTTCGACTAACTTCCGGTGTCTATCATCCATGACGAGGTTCTTGATTGCATTACCTGTGGGCTCATATCGCGAGACGTGGTTGATTTTCAGTTCCTCTATGGTTGACGGTATGGTCTTAGCATATCCGCAACTGTCAGGGGGTATCTACGTACCCCATTCTCTATTCTTGAGTACGAAGCCCATGATCTTCCGTGGGAAAAGCATCTCATCTCTAGGGTCAATGTCATCGTAGGTACTCCACTTTCCGTCTACTCCTGACTCATCATCGTCCAGGTCTCCAATTGGCGGTGGAGCCTCTTCGGTATCACCGTATGACCAGTATGACGTGGGATTGAGAACGACCCTTCCTTTGTACTGCAACAAGAATCAGTACGATACATGACGCCGAGCTCCAGGAATCTCACATACATATTGCTTTACTTTGCCCAGAGAGCGTCCATCGTAGTTTAGTTGCTCGCTACCTTTTCGGGGGTACGTCGAAATATCGCTCACCAGCTTTTTCCAATCTTGGTCGCCAAGCTTTGTCCGAGGCCATGTCGGCGGGAAAGACCTTTAGGCTAGAAACTTCTCGTTCGCCGCTGAAGCTGAAGACACTGATGGAAGTCAAACACCTACCAATACGTCGGCCTGGCATCGTGTTCAGTAACCGATTTGTGGCGAAAGGAACGGAACTTGTCGCCATAAAATTCTAGGTACCATAGTTCCACTCTGTACCAACTTGAGTTACTCGCCTTGTTCGTGCTAGCAGATCTGATGACAAAAGCCGCTGGCTCGCCGTCAATATCGGTATAGACCCTTGTTCCAGGATCCAGGAGCATCCAAAGCATTTCGAATGTCGCGGTGGGTGGGCTTTTCTTATGTCGATTCTCTTCGTCTTGAATGTTTTTGGCATATTTGGCATCCAAGAATGCGAGTAGAACTTTGATATCAGACCTCGTCTTTTCAATCTGCAGATCATGGAATAGACCGTCATCGCACCCACCGTCCCCTTTGTTCATCATTCACCTTAATTTCCCCCGGTGGTGTAGAAGAAAGTGATAGGGTTCAGAGACTATGATAGCCCCCGTCAGTTGCTGGGATGGGTAGTAACCGACCAATCTTCGAATGGCCCCACACAGCTGTTTTGATCGGACCACCATCTCTATCGAGCCGATCGACGATATTTCAAGGTTCTGGCTCTCGAGGTCTTTGTCTTTGCCCTGGACTGGTTTGGTTTCTCTCTCCCCAAAGGGGTAGATGTCGTTCCAGCGGCTGCAGCACCGGACTGACTGCTCACGGGAGTGCTGACGGCGATCTGTCTGATGGAGACATAGGTGATAATGTCCAAGACCGAGTCAGTGCCACTCGTCTCGTCTTCTTCCGCGGTCATGAGTTTGGGCCATGGTTTGTATTGTTCGTCTTCTTTTATGGGTTCACCAGCATCGTCCCTATACCAAATTTTGTATCTGATTGCCTTGCTGTTCTCTTCGTCCTGCGACGTGGCAGTGCCGGGTCCTGGATTTCTCTCCAAGTCAATGCCATTTGGAGATAATTGGCAGGGTGGACTCGGGAGTCATCGTGTATGTAGCGAAAGGCAATTACAACGCAAGATACAATGTGATTTGTTTTGGATGGGAGAAGATTTCAGTGCGAGACACTTCGGAAATTCGGAGGGGACAAGGCTAGGCTTTTAGTGTGAGGCTCAAGACCTTCAGCTCCGTGTAAGATGTTTGATGATGTGGCATCGCTCCTAGATCTAGTGGTGATACTGGCGATAGCCTTTAAACCGACATAAAACTTGGAACGGGCACATAATTTGATGGCTCACGCATCGTTTGACGCAGTGTGGCCCTATACCTTAGTCATCGTGTCAACGTGGTCTTTGTCAATTGTCATCAGCTCTTCCCAAAATGATATTACCAAGCCTTGAATCTTCACCTAGAAATGGAGCGTAGCATTCGGCACCTGGGTTACGCTTAGTCTCATGATCCAACCGGACCTCAGCCTCATAAGCCAGAGTACGAGCGGGTAATATCGGATGCAAAGCTCGAAGTGCAGTGGGCTTGAAGAGTTTCGGATGATTATAGCCAAGATGGCGCGGTACGAAAGAACAAAGCATTTCACCTTCTCCCCCACCTTCCTTCTTCAATGCCATCAAACTGCTCTGCCAAACAGCCACCTCTAACCACTGAGAGCAGCTCCATCCAAGTGCTCGATTTCGTGACCAACTGTCTTCTGAAACACGCGCTCACTCCACCCCTGACGACTGCCATCGACGGTCGGTGGCACAGTAAGTACATCTTCTCTGCCTAGCGCATCTTTGACGTATAAGCTTATACCAGGACAGGTTAGAAGTAGCTTTATCACGACTCTGTTGCAATCTTTGAGTATCCCTAGCAACTCATGAATGACTTTCAAGAAATCCCGTCGCCTCTCAGAGCGCTCGTAGTAATTTATGCCGTCGATCATCCAGAAGAGGAATGTTGTGTCCGGTAGTTGTTGGATCAACCTTCGATATAGCGCGCAGATGGTTTCTAGGTCGTTGTGTTGGATCTTTTCAAGGTCTGTTGTTGAGAGGAAACTCAGGTCCCAAGAAACGTCACGTTGCAGGAGCTGAGAGACGAAGCTTTTGATCAAGCCGGTTGCGTCGGCCATAATATCTTTTCTGGATGTTGTATGCAGCGAGCAGAAAAAATGTTGCGAAACGATGGGCTCAATATGACCCAAACTTTCCAACAACTTGGCGGATAAGAACGTCGCGGACGAGAGCATCTCGTTTGCGGCACCATCACCGTTGATCAGGAGTTTACGGGATCCGGGAAAGTTCAGCCATTCTCGAAGCTTGGGCGACTGCATCATCCATTTGACGCGGTCTTGGTCATTGAGGCTTAGCGATGTGCCCATGCTTAGGCAGCGTTTCAAGTCTTGTTGAGGAACGTCTGATGATAATCCTAATGCTAAGACGAGAGCAGTTTGGGTTACAGCTGCTCTTCAAATCAGCGCGGGCAAGTCTTAAGAAGCGTTGGGCTACACTCACATTCTATGTGCCTTTCCACTTCCGCTGAGGGTCGAGCCTCTAAGATCCGAGGCGGTACTACACCTTTGCCTTTGTCAGTGGGTAGCCATGTCCTGATAATCCCGAAGGCTTACCTCGTATCCTGGCATCAATGCCTGGATTGCTGGACAAGTGGCTGTAAAAGCTATTGATACAATATCCCGCTGCTGCTTCTCCAATGCGAGTCGAAAGGTCTTTTTTTGTTGCTTCATCGAGGCGGAAATTCTCGGTGTTTTGCTGCTCCTTCAATTCCTTCAGCTGCATGTTAATAGCGGGGAAGTACTCTTGGCAAAGTTTCTCGAGGTCTCTCATACGGTACTGCGAGCTGATTGCCGCTTCCTGGTCTACCTTGCCAATGAGATCTCGGACTCGGTCTATCTGACTCAGTAGCGTTTGCTTGTAAGCTTGGCCTTGTGCCATGGCTTTCCATGCCTTTTCTAGCGGACAATCAGCAAGCATTTCGTATGTGAGATTAGTGTAATTGTTGAATGATCATACTTAGGATCCCCTCCGTGAGATATACCATGATATGTCGAAGAGCAACCAAAACAGCGCTGCAAAGCTGCGCTGTCATCTGTACCAGATCTCGAGGTTTTGAATCGGCGTACAAGTCACGGTATCTATTCGCACGTCCAACCCAGTAGGGGATGTCTGCCAACGCTTGGAAGATGGTCACTCGAACGTCATGCGCGCGTTTTGCAGCCTAGACGTTTGAGCTTATGGTCAAGCATGCAAGGGACACAGCCCATACTGTAACGACCATTTTGAAGACACCGCCAACAACCGCTCCGTAGTCGCCACCTGGTAGAAGGTCGAGCCATGTCTCGAATGTGGAGATATTATCGATTATCTTATCGCAACTGTCTCTTGCGGACCAGCTGTCCTTGTCTTCACCATCTTCACGAATCTTTGCTACCTTGACTGCCTCCCTGATGTCTTGCCAGGGACTAGATGTCTCATTGGCCTTGATCATCGAACTTGAATCCGGGTCAGTCTTCTGTTGGTATTGGACTATCGTAGCTTGGAGCAACTGCAACTCCTCTCTCGCGCCACTGAACAAAGAGTCCTCCTCACTTCACGCGGTACATCTTAGCATCTAGACGGCCCTCTACCAGCAGGGAGCGATAGATCTCACCTTTCGAGCTCGTCGTTTATTTCTGAGGTCGCAAAACTGTTGATCCTCGCTACATATTTGAGCGGAGGGGAGACTATGGCGGAATTGAGATCATTGTCTTCCATATGCTCTTGTATATAATCGGCGGGTAGATTTGTCGAGCCCTTCCGGCGCCCAAAACGTTGCTTGAAAAACCCGTGTTTTGACATCCTGGCCGGGGTCGCAGCCTAAAAAATTTCACGAATGAAAAATAAGATCCACTTCGCGCCTACATACTCGTAGTACGTAGACTTCTATATGTCACCGTGCGACCTAATCGAAATGAAACTCGAAATGATTGTAGTCAGAAGATACAACAACGCCGATGGACAAGTTGCTTTTCCGTATAGACGCCTTCTTGCGTGCCCTCCGACACGCCGCACTTTCGCCTCACAAGCGGCAGGGGCACATAGGGTTGCATGAAAAGTGGGGCCTATACATGCAGGCTGCTCCTGTTCTGGACCGGTCTATTTTGCAACAAGGCTGAGAGGTTGCGGCTCTGAGAAAGTTGGTCTCAGAGCACCCAGAGACAGGCTTGGATTTGCGATATAGTAACGTAGAACTGTAGATTCAGAGGATTTGCATTCTCATTTAGGTTCTTTGATTCCTATTATGAACGGGGTTCACGAGGTCATCATCTTGGAGGGCGCAAGGCTACGGAGGCGGGAAGCACCTTCCCTAAAATCTGACATGCATCAATGAAACTTACCTCACGCCATAAGAACCTTAGGTGGAAAGATCTTCTGCAGAACTCCCGGACTGCGCAAGGAATTGATAGGTATCGAGCAAGGTGCTTGAACAGGCAGCAGACTCGGAGAATCGGACCCTGCAGCAATGTGAAGGCTGCGTATCTTTAGGCTTACAACATGAGTATCTATCATTCGCACAACATGATGGTCACGCGTAGAGGGGTTAAACGGCGCCGCGATAGGGTGTTTCGAATCGGTCAGGTCAATTGTCGAGGCTCACGTTCAATCAACTGCTTGAGACGTGTTACAGCTTTGATACGCTGCCCGTGTGCGTCCGACACACTTTGTCTCTTAATCAACCTCTTCAGCTTGTCAGGTCCTACTCGTATGCTGCATATGTTAGGGCTGACTTACTTGTTGATCGCCGATCGGGTCTCGATTCGGTCGGACGCGCATGAACCGAGGTAACACACCGAAGCTGCGGTCCACTTAGAATCGAGTTTCAAGCTACCCCCTGCCAGGTTCTACATATTTCAGCCTCATATGGTCCTTTCGAAATCTCGACACCTTGTTAACCTCCATACGAGCCCTCCATTCCTGTCTAATTTTTCATGCTCCGTACAAGTATTGTCGACTCATAGGACCGAGCAGTCCTTTGACCAGTGACTATCCAAATCCACACATTCTGTCAACATCGAACGACATGGGAAGCAAAGCTGTTGACCAACAGGTCCACGTCCAGGCGGATCCCACACACAGCATGAAAAGCCTCCGTACAGACGAGAACAGTAAATCGACGAGTCTGCCGTCGCCTCCTTCTTCTGTGAAGGCCACTGAGTCGGAAAGCGGTCGCAATGAGAACGGCTCGCATCCTGGGGAGGTTGCTGCAGGCGAGCCACCCGTCAGCGGAAGCTCTGCTGGTGCCCATGGAGTCGCCAATGCAGGTATAAAGAACACGGCTGCTCCTGTAGGACTATAGGCTGATCGCTAGGATAGTTGATATGGTGAATGACGAACATCCCAGTGGGCAGCCGTCCAATGATCCCGTACAGAAAGGGACAAATCCTCAAGACCATGACGAATCATCCGGAAAGGAACTCGGTACCACAACGAGGGAAATGGATAACGAAGACGATGCTAGCGATGCTGAGTCTATAGATGACATGATCGAAGACATATATGACAATACTCTACGTCCTCGGCTTAATCTGCGGACACTTCAAGAACGCATCAAGAAAGGCCCGAAACGTGCCGTACAGCAAATGGACTACACAAGGCTCATGGAAGATAGGATGATAGATATGGAGAAAAGACTGCGAATGATCGAGAAAAAAGGGGTGGAATCGGAACCACCTACTCCTCCGCCCGAAGAGACAAATCCGCCTACTGACTTGATCATGGATATCAAGCGAATGACCTTTCAGGAGTATCTGCCGATTGATCCGAGCCCAGGACTCAAAGCGACAGGTGCTTTAAAACCCCTTGAGCATAAGCGCCGAGACGAGTTTCCAGGTCAATTGCCTTACCACCTCATCGACGTTGTTGTTAGCGCTGTAAATCAGCCCGAGCGGCTGGGTAAAGATCAGGTGACCAAGCGAGCAGCAGGCTCACTTGATCATGCTGCTCCTGGCCCTGCTATCCTAGATCAAGACTCGACGGTTAATGATCTACATTTGGCCCAGCCTGAACGCGTTCGCATCAACTCGACTTTGCTGCTTGACGCCCTCGAGAAAATTACAGGCATGACATTTAGCAAAGCACGCGTTGATGACGAGCTCGAGTTGCAAGATCAAGTCATACTGAGACCGTTCAAGCTATTTGTGACCTTCGAGCAAGAAATCAGGGACGAAATAGATCGACTAGAGAAAATACACAAGCACAATGGCAATGAAAGCAAGCCAGAAGCACCCGAGACAACCTTGAGCGAGGGCCAAAAATCGCCGCCGCCATCCACGGATGTCTTGCACAACATGCCCGAGTTATCAAGTCGAGAACACTTAGACGGTCTGAAGAATAACAATTCTCAGAACACTGCAACAGATGCCTTAACTGATGGGAGATACGAAAAACTACCTCCATTGGAATCGAGACGATGTCTCGAAGAAATGCACGTCTTGAAAGAGCTACTAGACAAAGATCTGAAACCGACGTTTGACCTACGCAGACAAATCAAAGACGGTTTGACCCGGAGTATCGCCTTTCAAGACCTCTGGCATCTCTTTCCACTGGGAACTGAAATTGTCTCTAATGGTTCCGATGGGCAAAATCAGACATACCGTATTGTGAATGTCTCCGGGGGTAGACCCTTTCTTTGCAGCAGATATCAGGCAGATATGGATCCATTAGGACCACTCTTGAATGGGAGAGAAGTGCCCAAGTTCGAGATGCTGAGTTACTTCTATGATTTTGATGGGAAGGAACTTGGTGCATGTCAGAAATTGCATACCATCAAGTCTTACGATGGCAACAAGGCGATCACATCCCTACCATGTTTTCCAGTCATCTACTGGAAAGCTTCTCGGGGGCTGAAACCTCGCGACCTCTTCATTGAAAGAGGCAGACGATTTATCGAGTTGACGCGCAAAACGGACGTCGTGCATAAGAGGTATGATGGTCGGACTCTGGCCATGGATGAACTTAGAGAAGAGGTAAGACAGACCCTAAGCACCGTGTGAGGTACTTGCTTACCTTCATCTGGTCAGGTCGACTCTGAAGTGATAATAGATGTCAGTATGGCTTTGTTAAAGAACAACTTGGTTGTAATTTGGGGTCTTTCAGAAGAGCTGGAGCCAGACCGCCGCGAGACTTTGGAGTTCCTAGATCCCAGGTGCTCGCAGGAGGGATGTTGCCAGAATTCTCCGATTCACAGAGACGACGAAGTAGATCGAAAGCGTAATGTCAAAATGCTAGAGAACAAGGGCTTTATGCGCGACTTCATTGAGTCCGACAACGAGCTGACCGAAGAAGACTATCTAGTGTGCCCCTGTTGGGTTTATGGCTATGTGCTGAGGAGTCGCAAATGGGTGAAGCTGGAGGTGAGTCTGGTTGAAGATATCAAGGATCGTGGGAGCGGCTTCGACTCTCTGGTCCTTCCCGATGGGCACAAAGAAACCTTGCTGGCTCTAGTCCAGACTCACTCTAAGGGCAAAAAGCTCGAGATCGGTCTCAAGGCAGAGAACCGGCAGATGGACCTCGTGCGTGGTAAAGGTAAGGGTCTGATCATCTTGCTACACGGGGAGCCTGGTGTGGGAAAATCATCCACTGCCGAGTCTGTAGCAGAATTTACGCGCAGACCACTGTTCCAAGTCACGTGTGGTGATATTGGCGAGTCTGCAGACGAAGTTGAGAGGAGGCTGGAGAATCACTTTCAGCTCGCTCACAAATGGGGTTGTGTGTTGTTATTAGACGAAGCCGATGTGTTTCTTGAAGCGAGGAGTAAGACTGATCTCAAACGCAATGCAATTGTCTCGGTGTTTCTCAGAGTTCTCGAATACTACTCCGGCATTCTCTTCCTCACCACCAACCGTGTTGGGTCCTTTGACCAAGCTTTCCGTAGTCGGATCCATATGAGCCTCTTCTATCCTCGGATCGAGGAAGATGCAACCATCAAGATCTGGGAGATGAACATCGACCGGGCTCGCGAGATCTGGGGCGACAAGCTCTCCATCGACGAGGTCGATCGCAAGGGTATTCTCAAGTTCGCGTCTAAGCATTACAAGGAACTGGCGGAGTCGGAAACCACGTGGAACGGCCGACAGATCCGTAATGCCTTTCAGACTGCCATCGCTCTGGCGGAGTGGGACGCTTATCAAAGCCAGCTCAAGTTCAAGTCGCCAGTCCCGCTCAAGCCGAGGCTAGAACCGGGGCATTTTGAGCAGGTGGCGAAGGCGTCGAAGCATTTCGACGCCTATCTGAAGGAGACTCAGGTTGGAACTATGTCGGATTTGGCGAGCGATAATCGTGAGCGCAGGGACGACTTCCGCGGAGCGGAGTCTTGATTTTTGCTTTGCTACGAGGCAAAGAAGCCATTGAAAATGATAGAGACGAGTGACATATATCCCAAGTCCAGGTATCTTCTCACAGAGAACTAAGTAGACATGTCCACTCCAAACAATCAAAATCCTAATGAATATAGCAGTATCGTAAGCAAGTAGATGAAAGGTAGCTAACAGTAGGGTGCCAGACCCTGATATCGAGTTGATGGTTTATCAGATGTACAAGAAAACCTGAGTGTGTTCCATTGGCCGCTGTGACAAATGGTAATAACATGATTGGCTCAACAGGCCGACGTCGTCAGACCAGGACTGATCGGGAATAGCGGGAGGCCTTCGAAGACGTGCGTTCAATAAAGGTGGAAGGCAGCAGAGTCCTGACCACCTCAAAATGAAGTCAGAATGCATTCTTAGCCTTCAAAAGTGTACGATCCAAACGCTGCGTACCCGAAAAATGAATGCAAAATAAGGTACTCGTACGGCCTGCCGGATGGCGGAAATGATACAGAGCGACGTCTCGAAAATGGCATGGAATATGAATCCTGAATCTTGGGTTCATTGTAGCAACGCTTAAGCGAATGGGGAGGAAGGTGCAGCGATGTGAGGGGATTGACGTGCAGATGGAGCACTTGGACACTGACGTAGAACACGAAAGAAATGAAGCCGATGCGAAGAGCAAGAGCAGGGACGCATGGTCGGTACGTCGACAGGGCTGCCGTAACGGACACGACCGGTTGGGGAAATCGGCAAGGGAGGATGAGGAGGGTGCTGGCAGGAGAGGAGTCTGATTCGATGAGAGTATGGGAAGGGACGGTTTTCCACAAAACGGAAAAGCGAAAGTCCCGGTTCTCTTGAGCCCGGGAATTCACTCGTCTCCACACTCAACCTCACCATGGGTTAGATGGGAACCAAAGGATGTCAACGAGACACGCACAAAGCACCAATAGACGCACATAGAATAAAAATCAACAGAGAGATTGACCCGATAGAACCATGATTCCTATGGGCGATTGGGTATCCCGTTTCTACTCATCATCGTACACACGCACAACAACGCCTCCTCAACCCATCCCATCAGACCGACTCCCATCCCCCACAGACTCCCTCCCTCCCTCCCTCCCCTCTCCCCAACCCCACCACCTCCAACGAAACCCCCGTCCAGAGCTCCGCAACTGCCAGCCTTTCATCTCGCACACACCTCCCCCCAGCCCCCCTTCATCGGCCATCTAAAGGCTTTGGTCCGGATTGTAAGGGGCTCTAGGCGGCTGCCCGTTCGCCGGTGGTGGATAATTAGTTTGAGGAGGGCCCGCGTTGACGGGATGGGGTTTGGGCGCGTAGTCCTTTTCGTTCGGGTTGCCGGCCGCGGCTTTCTTGGCCTGGGATTTTTTGTAGAGGTTGTAGCCGAAAGCGATGCACATTTTCGGAGGAGGGGGGGAGGTGGAAAGGGGCGATGTGGTGTTAGGGGTATGGTGCGTGAATGGGGATGGGGCTTGTGTGGTGGCGCGGCTTGTTATTGAGGCTGTTGGATAAGCGTGGGTTGTAGCGTGGTGAGACTGGACTACCTTAACAGATGGAAACGCGGAGGAAGAGATCAGACGATTGTATAGACGATGTTTTTTTGTAAAAGGAAAGACTGAGGAACAGAGGTTCTATATGAAGGATTGAACAGCGCCGCGCACGGTTGATAGAAGAGATGGTAATACTATCCTCAGCTGAAGCTATGAAACAGGGCGCAGCAACACGCGGGAATTGCATGATCCAAGTCAAGAACAGCAATTGAGTGCGACATGTTGCAATCTGCGAAGCATACGAAACGCGAAAGCAATGCAGAAAAAGCATGCTCCGCTAGGCCTGGGCTGAGTAAGTCGCGCCGCAAGAACTTGACGAACTCGGTTAGTGTTCCGCGAGATTACTTGTATTGACCACCTATCGCAATTTCGCTTCCTCTGCGCTAGTCCCCAGGCTGAGCGTATCTGAAGTAAAGTTGTTGCGCACAGATTCGTTCGTATCATGATCAAAATCATTTTGTTCGCCGAGGATTTTTTCGCTAGAGTGAGTCACTAGGATGATAGAAATGACCAGTAATGTTGCGTTGAGGGCCGGTGTTGCGGTTCAGAAACAACAAATCAGCCCCAACCATCGGTTTCATGGGGCGACTCTCTGCAAAGCGTATTCAAAACGTCGCTATCGCTGCCGCAAATGAGCTCGGGGCCAAAGATCTGACATGATGTGCTGACTAGACCCCTCGCATCCTCTTCTTTTTCTCACGTCGCTTGATCCAGGAACAACTTGTTCCTCTTCGGCCCAAGAAATCTAGTGCGAGAGGTGTTGTTCCTGTGATTAGTGGTCTGATCAAGCCTCGCGACGAGTCTTCAGCACTCGAACCAGCTATCGCCTCGCCCATCCCACCGCAAGCAGAACTACCCACACGGACACGCCAACAAGCGTCAGATTCCTCAACACAAGCAGCATACTGCGCTTCTGGAACTCCTTGAACATTTCCGCCAGCGCAGCACCCTCGTTGAGTCTCGGAAATGGCACATCGGGCTTCTCCTTGCCGAGAAACTCGCACAACGGGCCCCAGCCGTCTTCAAGCCTGAAGTTTAGCAATCTATCCTTCGGACAAACCCTCCTGACATGTGCATAATGTTCTCTGTACAGCGTTCTCGCGGTATGTTGCAGCTCCTTCTTGTTATCAGTGCGGCAGAATCCCCTGCGGTCTTTGTAGACATAGTTGAACATAGTGGCGGTGGGTCGGAGGACCTGCGGATCGAGGAGCCGTAGGACATGGATAATAGGATTATACATCTCCTGAATCATGCCATCGAAACTTTGGTACCAGCTCTCTATGTTTCGTTCCACAAGCACGACTTTTGCTTCGGGGTAAGCCTTGATGAGTTCTTCCGCGAAGCAGATGGCCGGTGAGTCCGTCACGGCCTGGTAATTGCCCAGCAAATCATCCCAGTCTTCTCGAGTGAATAGCGGACCGCGATTGTGATATTTCGCCTCGAAAGCGGAGATCCATTTGGCGCACTCATCGATGTTATAGAGTGGTGTGTATCCGTGATAGGTGGGCTTGCAGCCCAGAATCTCTAGCGCGGCTTGCATTGCTGTTATCGGTCAGAGATAGTCCAACATTTCAAGCTCTGGCCTGAGAAAATGTCTTTTTCTTCTCCGTTGTCGAGCGGGACACGGATCAGACATACTCACTGTCCCAGTTCGGGGCATTGCCAGCGATAAAACTTGCATTGGGACTGTGCGAGCATTCTTCCGCGTAGAGCCAGCCATGTTGTACTCCGACTTCTTCTATTTAGGCTTCTTCTTCCATTTGTCAGATCTCCTGGCGAGGTCAACTTTGCAAAGCTGCAAGACGTGTAATGGGATGTCATTGACGCTTTGATCGCAAGAAGGGAATAGGCGGTGCGGCTGAAAATCCTACGCATTAAGTGGCGGAGCACTTATCTCTCTAATGATGCTAAGACGCAGAATAGTCAGGCCTTTGGCAGGATCACGGCGATTATTTATCCAGTCCTCGCACTCAAATTGACCTTCAGCCCTCCGTTGTTTGTGATGCACATCATTTGAAATTGCCCGCTCTTTGATGGCTCGCTAATTCTATCTCGCTTGATATCCATCGCCCACGTCCATTACAAGCTAATTTACACGTGACAGTTGCGTCACGGCGTCCACTTTTCATCAAGGACGCCTTGAGTTGAACCCTTCTCTGGCAGACAAATTATTTTAGGAACTCACTCTTTGAATGCACCCAATTCTTCAGACGCGCAAGTCTCTCCATGCCTCTGAAGCGGTACTCAGCGTACAACTCTGCTAGTCAACCCAGTCCACCTTAGCCTAACCTGTACGCATGAACACGATTGTCTGCTCGTCGTATTCAGCCCATCCAGATGACTCACTTGTCTTTCCGAATCTGACAACGGATACGTCTTCTCAACCAGCCGTGTCGCGAGGCCGACAAGTTGGCCTGCACCACAGATGGCATATAGAAGGTCGATGTATGTACTTTGGCCCACTTGAAGGGGGTCTCCTATCGCGGTGATCAAGCGCGCCGAGACGATCTTATCAGATCCGAAACCGGTGATGGAGACTGAGATCGAAAGTCCGCCATTGAGATAGTACTCGACGGCGCCCACGGTGTTCACGATTCCTAGCGCTGCGGAGAAGAACTCATTAATTTATCCCGTGGTATATTGGTTCCAATCAGCGGCGTGCTGTGAAAATTCTCGTCGGGTGCATAATCATATGCGTGCATGACTCCTTTCCATTCCGAAGCAAGACTGAAAAGTTATTACTATTTCTACCTCTCACGTGCCGTCTCAAGTAGCTTGTTGTCTGGAAGGGTTTGAAGCATGGCTTGAAAATGTTGTGCTTGGAAAGTTGAGAGAGCCTGGGCGCCGCTATTACAACCGTCTATTGGTTTCTATTCATGCTTCAACGCCAGATGTAGCCATGGCTTCTGAACGCCGGAAAAATCGTCAGCCTCCAAGGGTAATCCCCAGCCATAGGGCTAGCCTTCGTATTCGTATCGACCAAAGAACCGCCGCATCACCGCGATTGCCTAGGCATTAAACACCGAGTCGGAAACCATCAGACCGACTTAATCGTACTCGCAGCCGCAGGCATCTACAATGTGCGAGACTAGGGATAGAAAATATCTCGCTCGACAGCGGAAAAGTAAGGTAGGTAGAGCGGATCGATCGGTCGGTCGGTCGATGATGCGAAGACTGCTGCGCTAAACCTACAAGGGTGGACTTTCCGCCAAGGCAAAGCCAAATGTCCCCCGAAACATACGGAGTCGGTTGGAAAGGTGTCAAAAGGCTAACGTTCATCGTACTCGCATTCGCGAGAGCTGTGTGTTCGCTGACGTCACAAAAGACCGGGCAGTATGAAGCCAAGGTCGGAGAAGAAGTGTATATAAACCATCCCCATCTCCCCGACCTTTCAGTACTCATCACGCAAAGCCCGCACACCTGACCACTCTCCCAACC